TAGCACATTTTTATTAGACAAGGTGAATTATAACTAACATCAATGGCTTTTATGTAATCACTTCAACATAATTAGAATGTTAGTTCAACAACAATCTGTACATTAAATTTCCATGTTTTTCATGCAATTGGGCTAGTCAGGATAAAAAGAACCATTGTAAAAAAAAAAAAAAAAAAACAAAACAAAAAAACAAAAAAAAAAAAAAAAAAAACAAAGGTTTTCCCGAGAGTGTTTATCACCTGGTTTTAAAAATATTCTTTACAAACCACTAGTGGAATGCAAAAATATTTATATAAATATTATAAAACAGTTTGTCAAAGCATTAAATAAAGAAAATGATAGAGATTTAAGTACATTTGGCAAATTTCCTTCTATTTCTGATGCTAAATTTAAGGAGGGGATTTTTGTTTGACCGCAAATTCAAAAACTTATGTTGCATTCAAAATCTGAAGCAACAATGAATGATTGTGGGGGGAAAAAAAAAAAGTGAAAAAGAAGAATGGACATTTTTTAGGGAACAGGAAACATTCAGATTACATTGTAGAGGACATGCAAAAAAAAATTAAGGTCACTTGGATGCAAAATGAGTATTAAATTACATTTGTTACATGAACACATTGATTACTTTCCAGAAAATGTAGGAAAAGTTGGTGAAGAACAAGGTAAACGATTTCATCTGGATATAAAAGACATTGAAATATGGTACCAAGGAAAGTAGAATAAAAACACGAATGGCAGATTATTGCTGCATGTTGAAAAGATAGAAAGTGCAAGCAGGAAAAAAATCAACCAAAAGAAAATTCTTGCCTTCAATTAATGCTTTGAAGCTTTAACACATTCAGCTAATTTTAGAACACTCATTGTATAAAAGCAATATATGGAAGTATATTTTTATGTTCTTTCCATTCGATAATATGCTTTACATAATATACCAAATTTATTAACATGTTTATAAATCTATTTATATACTTTATATTTTTTTTAATGCAGACCAGTGTAACAATTAAATTTGGGGGGAGGAGGTGATATATATTGTGTGTATATTTACAATTGCATCTTTATGCTGAAGATCCTAAACTCTACACAGTTATACGGTTTAGTGTATTTTATAACTTCTTCAATATCTTTTATTTCTTGTAATCACTAAGCACTTGTAATTCTCATCAATTATTGATAGAGGAAGGAAAAACTAGCTTTCCAGAATTAGAATAAAACCAATAGACTTGGTGAACATGTTCATGTAAACTAGCACTTGGGGATGAGCCCCATCCTGCATTTAACGAGTTAGGTCCATCTGTTGCCAACTGAAGATGATAAGAAATGATGGAGATAGATAAAAAATTAGTGGTTTGTAGAGATATTACTCATAAAAAAGTCATGGTGTTATATTAGAGCAGGCGAGTCATGTGTAACAAAACTAGTTATGACCATGAAACAGTTGGTGAGGTGGAAACTACACAAATTCCTAACACTTGTGTTTTCTTTTAAGAAGCTCTACGAATTAGTTGGACTGATATGATTGCATACTATTCCTGTGAAGAAAAGTGCTTAACTGATGAAATGGAACTTAGTGAAAGATTGTGCATATTTATGTATATACGTGTTTGTATGTGTGTATATGTTTCAGCAAAAATGATAAATCGGTGAATGTATAAAATTACCGATGATTATACATAATCACCACTGAATTTGGTAAATATGATAAATTATTTCATATTTATCAAATTTACCAGTTAGTTTATAAAATCCCCAACTTGTAATGGGGAAGGTAATAAATTCGGATTATTTTGTGGAAACAAACCAAACCCATATTCTATGGGGGAAGAATCATTTATTTGCATTTATATGTAAGGTTACTTCTTTAGATGTATTAGACTGTTTTAGAATTACAAAAGCTTGTCAGAATTTTTACATTTGCACTTATCATCATAATCACCACTAAATTTGGGAAATATTCAACTCATAATGGTAAATGTGATAAATATCATGACTTATTGGGCCAGTAGAATAGAGTGCAGGTTTTTTTGAGTAGTTACTACTCAGAAAGATATTTTTTGGTTGGACAATATGGAGTAAGAGACCATAAATTACAATATTTTATATTTTACAATTAAAAAGTCAATAAATTATTTTAGGTCACACATTTATTTAGCCTGAACAAAATTTGAATAAGGGTCTGACAGGTGTGAAATGAAAAAAATGCAATTTACACGAGCTTGTACAAAACAGTTGCACATAAAAAACAAACTGAAGTTACATATAAAAAACAAACTAAGCCCATATTCTAGAGGGAAAAAAAAAGCATTTCTTCAAATAACATTAAATGCTATTACTACAAATTACTAAATATTTTAAGTCTACTTATTTAAGCATATTAGACTATTATGATGTTTAGAATTACAAAGTTTGCCAGATTTTTTACATTTGCACCTATCAGACTCACGTTGTTTCTTACAAACACATCGCTGATATCCCTGACCTCCAGATACAGATGTCTTTCTAACGCATTCTCGAAGTGATATTGCTAGATCTGGAACATCGTCAAGTAAAATAAATTTTTCTTCACAAATTGTGAATTGATTTCTGGTATACAACTGTGAAAGTCTTCCTTGTGTCATTCTTAACTGATAAAACTCTTCATTTTGAACTTCTGATGTCACCACTAATAAATTTTGGGGATCACTTCTTGCTCTGTCAGCATCTGGTATTCGTAGTTTCACTGTGTCACCAACTTTACCTGCAGGAAATTTAAGATTTGAAACCTTCAACATTTTTTTTTTTTGCTTGTAATTCTAAACCTTCTTTAGCACTCATTCTATGTTTTCTTACTTGCTCTTGCCTGCATAAAATATCTGTCTGGATTAGAGTGACTGCTGCTTCATGCTCTTTCTGAGTCGTAAAATTAACTTCAGATGGAAGGTCATTTTGAGATAGATTGTTATTCTCCATATTAGAAACATTTTCTGTTTCGCTATTGGTGTTTTCAGGAGCATTATTAACTGTCTCGATTAATGCCTGAAGCTCTTCTTCAGTTCTAAGATGTTCGATAGAGTCATTTGGGAATGAAGATGTTTTCAAGCCAAATTTTGCAGGCATCCCAAACATTGCTTCATAAGGAGAACACTTGATGCCTTCATGAAATGCTCTATTTTTCATAAGTTGCACAAAACGTAACCCTTCGGATCATTTACTGGTGTGATTGTTTTCCAACCAAAAACCTAGCATATTTTCAATATCCTGGTTTGCACGTTCAACCAAACCTTGAGTCTGTCTGTGCCTAGGTTTTCTTTGCACAATTTTCAGATCTGGCCACATTGCACAAGCTTCTATGATTTTGTTACTAAACTCATGACCGTTGTCACTTTAGAGTACACTAGGGGCTCCAAATATAGTAAAAATATCAATTAGATGACATGCAGCCTGTTCTGCACGTTTGCTTTTTAAAGCACGCAACTGTACAAACTTCGTCAATAGGTCTTGATAGACAAATATAAACTAAAGTCATTATCTGGTTGAACTGCATGTCAATTAGGTCCACCTGGCATCAAGTTCATCTCTTGAAAGACCATTGGCTTAACAACAAGTCTTTTCTTAGGTACCTTGGTGGTTTTTTTTTTTTTTTTTTTTTTTTTTTTTTTTTTTTTTGACAGCTTTCACACTAATTTAAGTAAATCACGACTTCTTCGGTAGTAATGTTTTTGTACTTTTTTGAAGTTCTTTTTAACATCCTGTTTCTACCACCATGGCCTATTGATAAGTGTACCTCATGAATTATGGTAAAAATTTCTTCAAAGTACACGTAAAATCTAACATTGGAGCTGTCTTCACTTACAGGAAAGATAAGTTTTCAACATTGCCTACTTTCATTACATCATATCTGTTTAGTCTCTGATAATCTCCCGGTTTTTCCCCACTATTGTTTTTACTATTATTCACTTTTTTTAACAAATCATCATATCTTTCTTTCATCAGAAAACCACTGTTTGTTTTCTTAGTATCCATAATATTAAGTAATTTGGAATTAAAACGCTCAAGCATATCAGCCATTATTCAATGTTTTATTTTTTACGAGAGGGTAGTGACGAAACGTCTACGTGCAACGAAATGATAACTACTTCTGAAATCACGTGGCTGTCACGTGCTGATAGAAGCCAAGCAGTTGCGCAAACTGAACAAATTTTTGTAAAGTTAGGGACTTTTATCACATTCCCCATTATGAGTTGGGGATTTTATAAACTAACTGGTAAATTTGATAAATATGAAATAGAATTTTCGTAAAGTTTGGGACTTTTATCAAATTCCTTATTATGAGTTGGGGATTTTATAAACTAACTGGTAAATTTAGTGGTGATTATGTATAATCACCGGTAATTTTATATAATCACTGAATTTATTACTTTTACCGTAACATACATACATACATAAATAACTCATGGACTTACACTTTCGATTCTGCTAGTACCTAAGGTACACTTGTGTGCAAAATTAAGAGAATTCACACACAACAGAGAAAGAGATGTACCACTAGAAATTCATTTTATATCCACATGATTTGAGTTAAGTTCATAGTTTAGCGATGTCCAAAATCCATGTTGTGATATTGAATTCAAAATGAGTCTAATATGGGGTGTGGTCCCTTCTACTAACCAGACGAGTGAAGTGACAAATAATGATCCTCATTCGTTATGTTTCTTGGTTGACCTTGTGTGGGTCGTCTCGATATGGAATGCAATGTCCTGAAACAGTTTTCACAAATTGCAGATGACAAATAAATTATAATAATTTAAATAGTTTAATGTTTATTAATAAATTTTTACTCGGTATAACTACTTTTTTTAACTAAAAATAATTTATCTGAGCGTTTTCTTTACACACAGTTCAAGTAATTGAGATTTTACTGTTCAAGAATTTACATACTAAATACTATAAAGTAATTTTTGCTTGCATATTTTGCACACTTTTCTGTTTTGTTACTACTTAAATTTTTTCACATATTTCAGCAGTATGGATACTGTGGATGGTCGGGAGTCATCATTTAAGGAGCTTCCTACAAGAGAACTGAAATTAAAACGTCACAAAGTGCGAAGAGATTCTCCAACCATTCCACCAGTTAGACTGAGACTGAAAAGCAATACTTCACCTCTGAAGTAAACTTGTATTTTGTATTTGTTAAAGTTCATATAAGCTGGTAATTTTTGTGTTTTGGGGGTAAAGTTATCATGTTTACATCATTTGAAATTTTTTAAATATTACAGTTCGGAAATTTAACTTATGTAAATTTTTCTGTCTAAAATTTGCATATTTCCTATTGTTTTGTTTGGTGTATTGAATATATTCCTTTTTATATATGTGAATTTACATTGTATCTTGAATTACTTGTTTTATTAGGGAATAGTTTTAAAAGAAATGGAATATTCAAGACTAACGTGCTTAACTTATTACTTCCATGAGGTTTTTCATTTGCAGTTTGTTTTATCTTCAAGATATTCTTTTACTTGAACACCAATCAAGTTTCTTTGTGATAGGTCCTTTAATAATCCTTTCAGTCGAGACATCATCTGCACATATTATTTCTGCTCATTAACTCTGGCAGCAATATCAGTGGTACCCAATTTGTTAGAATTTTCTTGCTCTTTATGAATTTTATCCAAATTTGTTGTATTTTGATATTTGGCATCTCCCAGCTGTGCAATTTTGGGAACTTACGGGTCATGCCACTCTTGTTATGATGTAATTTTTTAAATATTTTTCTTGTCATTTCAATATGTTATTTCTTTATTACTGTTTTTACACTTACAATATCATTTCTAGTTCTGTTAAAAAAACTTGGGCCATTTCTCATGCAAAAGAATCCCCCCCACACCTTTCTGTGAAATTTGAAAAGGCATGTATAAAAAATGGCATTAAATAAAGTGAGAAGAATGATTTGAGAAGGCGTTGAATTTAGTGAAAGAATAAAACATCACTTTGCTGTATTGTTATTTCTTACTAGTATTATGTTTTTAACTCCCAATTTTAGCGGAAGGTTTTTTTTATGGGGGGGGGGTCTTTTGCACATTCTACAATTTTTGAAAAAATATTTGTTAATGAGACATTGCAATGACAGAGCAACTGGAGCAGTACTAAATTGTATTAGGTATATATTTTTGAAAGCCGCTATTGCAGTAACAGCTAGAATTTTAGAAGGTTACTTAATTATTATCACAGCTACCGTAGTACAAATTGCCAAATCAGAATATGCTGTACTCTGGCAACCATGCCCATAACAAACCTTCAAGTAATGTCACCATATTAGTACATGCTCATTTCATTGCATTCTAAGTTCCAACTGTTTTTATAGACAAATCATATGTCTTGCCTTTAACTCAATTTAAAAATATTGCTTGTGGAATTTGCCATTGATGAAAGAAACTGCAATAAAAGTTCTGCAGGAATACAATATTTTGCTGCAAAATCACTAACGGGAACAATGAGAAGGTGAGTTTGGTAGATAGCCACTGCACAATGCAAAGTTTAAGCAATTTTGTGTGTGTGTGTGTTTTTTTTTTTTAAGCTTAAAGCAGATCACTCTGTACATGAGGAGAACAGCAGTACTAAAAAATTAAAGGAGGATTTTGTGAAAAATGATCAATTCATATAATCCTTATGTAATAATTAAAATTTGTAATAATTTTTTTTGTATGATATGATAATGTTTGCCTTGTTAGGTAATATTTTAAAAAGTCTGGAAAATCACCTTCTTTCACATGATAAATTTTTACCTTTTCATCAGTAAGACTGCCAGTGAGTGCCAGGGTGGTTGTGTTTATGCATAAGTACCTAAAGAAGAACTTATCATAGAACTTGCAAAAGGTTTATGAATAAGACCCACTCATAGTGAAATGCAGGGACCAATTTGTTAATTTGAGATGACATTCTTAAAGATTCTTCTCCCATTACTTCTGCTCTGTTAAGTGAGGACTGAAAAAAAGTTTAAAAGATTGAAAGCCCACCATCCGGGTTGCTCAAAAACTTCCTCCAGCAGTACATAAAACTGCAGCATATTTCATTTGGATAAGTTCTGGTTTACAAGATTTTATAACTGGAGAAGCATCTTCTATTGCATGAGCAAAGTCACAAACAGTTTTCAAGGCATGTATAGCTACAATGTATGGTGCACTAGTGCAGTTCTTATTTTAGATCACCAAATATGGCAATGCTTTATTGCCAATAGATTTCATTAGAAAGGCCTCAAAATCACAAACTTCGGCTAACAGTTAAAATCAATTTTATTTAACGTTTGAAAAGAGGAAAGCACATCTCAAAGAGGCTAAATATTTAAACATTAACACATACACACACAAGTCAATGCTAGACATAGTCCACAAACAGGCAACAAAAAGTGAGAAATAAGTAGCAAGTCCTGGCAAAAAATTTCAATTTTTTATCCTCACACTATGGCAAGCACTTGCATATTGCACTGCAAAGATAATTTCTGCCACTCAGTGCAATGAGGATTTCTACCATACTCTTTTTCTGAAGGTGGTAATGTGACTTCTCCCATACTTTCTGAGTTTTGTTGTGCTATGATCCTAGGCTTTTCATTACTAATGTGCCTCACCAGTAGCCAAGTGGTTAAAATTTTTGAACACTGGTAATTTGGCCTGGGTTTGAACCCAGGTGGATGATGTGCCCAGGCAGATGGTTGTGAATCCCAGATGGATGGTTGTGGTCCCCCCCATGTGTAAAGTTCATATGAGCTAGTTTCCCTTAGAAAGCTCTCCATGGAGGAGGCTTCACTCACCTTAAGCAAATACCATTCATATGGTTTACTTTATTCAAAATAACCTATTGCTAATTCAGCACTTTGGTATAAACAGACTAACTATATCTGAGGAATTAAGTGTTTGTTGAGGTGCTTATTTCTAGTCCTCTTTAGAGCTGGTTGTGCATTCTTTAGCAATGTTCTATCATTTGAATGTCTGGGTAAAAGGTATTTTCATGCAAGTTTTCAGACATTTTTTTTCACATGTGCAGAAGTTTTTCAGTTATAGAATGTATAATTTTTTGTCTGTTCTGATACACTTTCTGTTCTGATACTGTTCTATAAAAAAGTGAATGTTTTGTGATTAGAAATGACACAGAAATTGTTGATCTTAAAGTAAGAAGTAGATTACATAAAATTGGGCTCATAAATAGTAGTATTAAAGCATTAAAATACTTTAGTTTGACAAGATCGAAATGAGAATGAAGGAAGAGCATTCAAAATTCTAAGGAAGTCATGTATTGCTTTCGCATTTGGATTTAAAAGAAAATCTCAATGGAAAGATACCATAGGATAAACTTGTAACACCTTTTGATGCATCAGTGTACTTAAAATTTGTATTGACTTCATAAAAAGGGCATAAAAACGTCACAGCGCTCAATGAACTGGAAGTTGATCTGTTAGCACTATCCGTATCTTCAGGGCAGGTGTTTTTATTTTATTCGGCTTATAATTCCATACTAAATGTAGTATTTCATCTCTAGTACTCCGTCTTGATATGATTTACATCAAATTCCTCGTCATTATAAATATCACAAATACACATCAAATAGTTTTCTGGTTACCATTTTCTAATTTCGACTATGCGTAATGTATGCTTTACGCATGCGCACATTGAAAGAAATGTTTAATAAAGTAAACAAATAAATAGTAAGCTTTTTTTTTTTTTTTTTTTTTGTAAATTTTGATACTCTTTAGTTCATAATTGCTCTTTATTTCATAAATTACGGTTTCATATCTTAAATTTTATAATTTCTGCATGCCATCTTACCAGATTTAAACTGATGATCTATAATCCGGAATCGCCGAAGTCCTGATGAGTCCGGATTAAAGACTTTTGACTGTACAACTATAGTGCACTGTAGATGTAAATTAATACATAACATAAACATATTTATTAAGACATCGGCGGTTACCTCTTTTGTGATCATGTGTTAGTATATAGAATAAGCTTTTATGATGTCACAGTTTTTTACATTTTATTATTTTCCTATCATCTTTATTAATGAACACCTATTAGTTACACTCACAAAGAAAGAAATGTGCAGAAACCTCATGAGAAAATTGCTTAGAAATCATGACAATATCACTATGAAGTTTCAGTGTGAGTTGACTCCAAAATGACAAGCTCCTTGTTTTTATTTGAGGTTAAGTTTCAAGATGCTTTCTAGTAGATTCCAAGAATTTTCAAAGAATCAAGAATTAATGAAAAGTTTCTTGAATGTGCAGTTCCAAGTAATGGCCAAGTATCATGTGCTAGTGGATGTACAGAATTCAACTTGGCGAATTTCTGCCTTCAGAATGTAATTTCTAAATTTGTTATTAATTCTACTTTTGTATCTTATACTTCAGTTTTATTAAGTTCTTATTTCATTTTCCTGAAGTGGCTGAGGAGCCTGTAAGACATGCATGGAGTGCTGAATGAGAGCCATTGAACTGAAGTTTTGACTGAAATAAATAACTTTTTCTGCTCTTCTGTTCACATAAAGCTAAGCTGCTGATTACCAAAAGAGGGGACGATTTATATAATTAGTGATGTAAACAGGAAGGATGATTTTTTTTAAATATGTGTGTGTGATAATTTAAATATGTGTTCAACTTCCATTTTAACTTCCCATTTCGTGATAAGTTTTTTCCTTTTCTTTTCTGAAAAATATATCACATCAGTATAAAATGTTTGTTGAAAGAGATGTTGTTACTGAATAAGCAATTCATTGTAAATCTTATTTTTTAATTTTGCAGTAGCGAGACGGATACTGATAAGTGTTTCTCAGATAGATCAGTGTCATCTTCTCCAGACAGTGTAAGCCAAGACCTTTCTCCAGTTTTTGGACCTGCTAGGTATAAAGTTTCTACCAGTATAAACTCTTTACCGTCTTCTCCTATTGCAAGTGAATCCAATAATGAATCATGTGAAGCATTACATCTTGCTCATCACTCTTCAGCTTTTGTGGAGCATGAAGATTATGATCAGCCATTAGACATGAGCAGGAAGCGCTCACAAATTTTATCCACGGAGTGTCAGAACTCCCATCAGCAGCAACTGAGGCCATCTGTGATAACATGTGCTTCGGCATTACTCAGAACTCAATGTAATCTTTCTGACTTGGCTCATCACATGTGTACTGCAAATGTGAATGATTGTAACAGCAACGGCATAGATGATAATCAGTGCATAACCGATCATCGTAACAGTAAAAGAATTAATAGTGAAATAAAAGGTGTGAGACCAGGACATCGACGAGAGATTGTATCAGGTAGACATTTTTCCTTTTTATTTACGTATAAATATTTAAAACAGTGCTTTTATATATATAGATGAAAATTTACGTATAAAATATATATAATACAGTACAAAGTCCAAAATCTGGACTTAGTGAGACTTCAGTGATTCCGAATTTAGGAATTTTCTGAAATTTTAGACCATCACAACATGCCATCTTACTAGGTTAAAAAAATCTATAAGATGACATGTTGAAATTAGAAAATTAAATGCATAAAATAGCTGTTTATAAAATAATGAAAGATTTATGATCTTAAGAGAATGAGAATTAAAACAAAGTATTTATATGTTTGCTTTATTAAATATTTATTTCAATGTAAGTTGTTTAAAGCTGCTTTACCATGCTATTTGGCATACAGTTAGTGATATTTTGTTTTGTTAAGAAAAAGATAAAGTATTACTATCTGTGTCATTGCTGAAGTTGGTATGAGTTGAGAGTCGTGATGAAAATTAAGAAAAGAAAAAAAAAAAAAAAAAAAAGGTTGCCATCTGGGATGTATGCTATTCAATATGTATAAAATCAGCAGTTAACTTTAGTAGAATGTTTCGATCTGAGATGTATGCCAAGCAAAATATTTGCATCTAAGCCAAATTATTGATCATACAGATTTATGGTAATAAATGACTTGTAATGTGCTAGGGCAATTCCATGATAGTGGAGGTAGCTGACTGGTTTGCATTTTGTTTAGGTTGCATGTAAACTGTATGTTGAACTAAAAACACATATCTTATACATCTACAAGAAACTATTAACAGTACAATAACGACAATTGACAGTGAATATTGAATGCATTGGAAAATTAGTTGGATGTTAAATTATTGTCCTTGTTATCTGAGGATCTTGCCAGTGGCAAATCTTTCTCTGTCAGGAATCTTAGAGTATTCTTGGTACTTGCTCTGTCTGAAACAGTTTGTAGACCGAATTAGTTATACCATATTAATTTTTTGGTTGTATTTTATGACCTATCATTTGTTATAATTGAAGACTAATCATTGGTCAGTTGACCCTCTGAATTTGTGAGGCCTTGATGACATAGTTTAGATCACTGGAATTCCCCAACACTGGCTGTGAAATTATGACTCTTGTAATGTCATTACTAAACTTTATGGTTCTCACGTACTGTTGCAACTATCTTAGTAGAAATAGCCAAATTTTTAAAAAGTGCCAAACTCTGGCAACCTTGCATGCATAACTGTTCTTCGAGCAGCCATGCTGATAACAATCATTTCAGTCAAGCAACGCTGCCATTTTCGTATGCATTCTGTTTTGTTTTATTCCACGTTCCAATGGTTTCTGTACACAAAACGTGATATTTTTTGCCTTAGTTTTAAAATATGAGCTGGTGGAATTCACTAGCAGTGGAAGAAACTATAGTAAAATTTCCCCAGTAATACAGAATTTTGCTGAAAACTAGGTAAAGGGAACGAGAAAATGTGTTTTCTAGATAGCAGCTGTTGCCTAAGATTGCATAAAGTTGAGTCTTCGCAAATCTTTGATTTTTTTCAAGTGAAAACAGATCGCTGTGTACTGTAGGAGAAGAAAGACAAAAAAGGAAAAAATAAAGATTTGAAGAAGAATACAAGTTTTTTTTAAAATATGTGATGTTAATCCCTATTTAATAATTCAAATTTGTATTTTAAATTGGTAAAGTATGTTTTCTTTTCCTAGGTTGATATTTTTTACCAAACTTGCTATAAATAAATATAAGTAGTTTGGGAATCTTTCTAAAAAAAGAAAGTGCAAAAGCCACCAGCTCGCACATGCTAAGCAACTTTTACATTTTCATCTGTAAAAAATCATCAAATTGCGCCAAGATTGCAATAATATGTAAGCACTCAATTTACTGTTCCTGCAGTGTGAAAGCATGTTGTCTTGCACTTCAAAACAGCTCAAAGACTGCGACTAAAGCACACATAAATTTCGTGTAGTCTGCCACATACTGCCCATCCAGTATCATTATGATGATACATAAAAATCACGTCTGCCGTAGTGAGTTTGACAAATACTTTGTTAGGCAAGGTTTATAGGTGTTTTTAAAGTATGAGAAGAGAAAGTATCTATGCCCGTATTAGACAGGAATATTGGTTTCACATGGTCAATTCAGACTGAAACTGTTTTTCTGTGAATGGATAATTGGAAGAAATTGCACCATGTTTGTTCATTTTAAAAGGGCTTTCATAAAAATGGTTGTAAAGGCCGTCGTACTGTATCACGTTGCACTAGCACATGTGAACATGCTTTCAGATCTATGTTGATGAATACTTCTTTTGTAGCATGTGATTCAGTTTTTTGATTAATTCTGTTGCATGCAGCTTCTAAGTTGTTTGATGTACTCAGCAGGATCAGTATCAGCATTTCATTTATCGAAAAAAGTTACCCAGAAGTTTAATTATAGTTCCATTTACAAGTTTAGCAGGAGTGCAACCAGTGGTTTCTTAGACAGCTATTCTCAGATCAAGTAGCATAGCTGGTAATCCATTTTGTAGTTTCATAACACATTGCTCTAGATTTTAAATGATGATGAAATACCTAAGCCATCACTTTGATGATGATAAACAGCTGTGTGTATTCCTTGTATATCTTGGAGTTTTATTAGAGCCTAAATAAACAAGATTCGGATTTTTGTCCTTGATCAGTTGTGATGATAGGCGGAACATTAAAGCGAGAGATTCAGTTTGTGTAGAAAGCCTCCGGTATTGTTGTATCTTGAATATCGATAATAGGGGTAGCTTCAGTCCATTTAGTGAACTGATCAGAACTGTTGCACAATATGTGAATCCATTTGAAGCTAGAAATGGCCCGATATGATCTAGATATGGGGTTTGCTACCTTGTAGCTGTCATGTACCAAACCAATCTACCAATATGATTTGGGGTGCTGCACCATAAGAAATATTTGAAACAATTCAATTCCTGTCGCAGTGTATGCAGAGTAATAGAGGGCAAGAATACAGATTTTCAATTTTATTATATATTAATTATGCATCATTTAAAGATATTTATTAACGTAAAAATGAACAACATTAAAAAAAAACTAACTATTCCTTCAACATAAATAAAACATAAAATTGTATGTATATATTATGTATTTAAACGTATTTATTAAAATAAAGCGAAATGATATGAAATATAAGTATTCCTTCAATACAGTTAAATAAAAATTGTAATGCAAACCTTTTCCCTGTACCACTCTATTTAATGTTGCAATATCGGGCATAATTTGTGACTTCCAGTTTGTCACATGATTCTGAATATTCAGTTATTAAACAACTTCTTAGTGGATTCGAAGTATTTTTTATATCAAAAAAGATTTGTTCTCATCAATATGTGGAACCAAAAGTAGAAAGCAGAGCATGTACAGTGTTCTTCAAACAATTAAATCTCTCCAGCACTGACATACAACAATTTAAAATAGCTGTCGACTTATCATTAGAGTTATCTTCCAGATTTTTTCATAATTCTGTAAATTTTTCTTGCCACAATTCTGTAAATGTTAGTTCAGCAAGTTCCATTTCAAAATTATCAACTTCCAGCCACTCAAAAATTGACAAATTGAATGGGATTATTAATCGGTCTACAAAACCTGGTGTGATTAGGAAGGAAAATATAGGCATACAAGATTCAGTCTTTTCATCTTCTGGAGAATTCCTGCTGACTGTTTCAACGTATGTTTGAAGTTCATCTTTGTCTAAGGTTGATGTATTTGGAAGCGCTTTGCATTTCAGAAGTATTTATAGGTACTAGTATTAATATCATGGAAGAAGATACTTAATTTTGTAGAAAGGCATTGGTTTTTCCAATATTAAAAAAGTTCAAAAGTTCAGGACCTTGAACTTTTTTAATATAGGAAAATAATAATAATTTTTTAATATTGAAAAATCTTTAGTTCATTGAGATATCTAGTCATATCAGTCAGAAATATCAATTTGGATGACCATTCTTTATCGTTCAATTCAGTTAAATGCTAATTCTTCCCATTAAGAAAAACTTTAATGTGTTCCAAGCATGACATAAACTTTAGTCAAGACATTACCCCTCAACTAATCCGCTAAATATGGCTGTGTAAGGGAAGATCCACATATTTGCTTTCCATTTCTTCTAAAAGAGATTTAAATTGCCTGTGTACCAATGAAGAACCGAGACACTATGAAACTATTTTAACAATAGTGTTCATTACAGAAATTAAGTGCTGTAATGAAATTTTGGCACCAAAATTTTCCTGATGGTGCAGAGAAGAGAGATGGGGTGATTTATCTTTCCTTGATAACTTTGTAGAGTGGTGAAGAGTGCCACTAAGAATTGTACCATGCATGCCATAGGTTGCTGACTCCTAATCTAGATGAATGTGTTAAAATAGAGTTCTAGAAGTTTCACTAAACTATTGTGATGGGGAAAGGTGTATTTGTGGATTTTAACTTTTTGGCATGTAATGTGCTATTTTGCCCAGTTCGCAACATCTTTGTTGATATTGTTACAAATCTGTACATAGATGATTTTAATACAATATATAATATGTGAAATTGTTATACAGTCAAAAGTGTTTAATCTGGACTCATCGGGACTTCACCGATTCCGGATTATAGATCGTCAGTTTAAATCTGGTAATATGGCATGCAGAAATTATAAAATTAAAAGTATGAAACCCTAATTTATGAAATAAAGAACAATTATGATCTAAAGGGTATCAAAATTTTCAAAAAAAAAAAAAGCTTAATATTTATTTGTTCACTTTATTAAACATTTCTTTCAACGCGCTCATGCGTAAAGCGTACATTACGCATAGTCGAAATTAGAAAATTGCAACCAAAAAGCTATTTGATGTGTATTCGTGATATTTATAATGAATATCATTTAAATCATATAAAAGACAGAGTACATCGAGATGAAATACTGCATTTAGTAATGAACTGTAAGCCGAATAAAATAAAAACATCTGCCCTGAAGATAAGGATAGTGCTGACAGATCAACTTCCA